TTTTCAAACTTGAAGGTTGCATGTTGACTTCTACAAGGAGTTTCAGCCATCCACAAGGCAAGCTAAGCATTGGAATAGCTTGAGGGAACTTCAAGGAAGCTCACACGATCCTCAGGCCTCACTCAAAGTCCCCACATTGCCATATCCAAACTCAGCTGAACAAGGTATTTTTCAAAACCCTATCTCTCTATTTAGGAATCCTCAAGCTTTGATTTGTGAAGCAAAAATGTAGTCCTTAACTTGCTGAAGTTGTACATATGCATAGTTGTCATTTATTTTAACTGAGCTAAGAGAATTTGATTGTTGAACATGCTGAAAAAACTAGGTCAGAAATTAGGGGTGATTAAATTCTCTCTGATCTTTGAGAGTTAGTTTACAAATTTTATATCATTGGAATCGTGAGATGAAATGCTACATTTTTTGTGTTATGAGTTTTTGTTTTTGTGCAAAGAATAGAGAGTTACAGATTTGAAGAAGAAACGCGCGCAAAATGGAAGAAGCTGGAGGACAGGGATGATGTCCTGGGCCTGGCGCGCCTTGGGCTTCTGTTCTGACTTTCCACACCCCCCAATTTACTTTTGCACCCCCTGCTTCATATTTTATATTTTTTTGCATATTTTCTCATTTTTTTATGTTTATTGATTTTAATAATTTTTTCTGAACATTAAAAATCACAAAAATAATTTTCTTATTTTTTTGCAATTTTATTTTATTTTTTATTACTTTTTCCACATATAAAAATAGTTTTATACAAATAAATAGAACTTTATTTTCTTAAATAAATAGTAAATACATTTAAAAATACTATATATTTTTATTTTATTATTTCACACATAAAATAATTATTTTCATACATATTTAATTTTTTAAAATTATATATAATATTATTTATTATTTTCTTGTATAAAAAATAGACAAAGTAATATTAGAAAGCATTATTTTCTTTTTAATCAAAAACTAGGGTTTTACCCCTTTCAAAAATAATATTATTTTTCTCTTATTTTCTAGGGTTTAAATAATTAATTCTCTCATACAAAAAATCAATTACAAAACATTTTTGCATAAATATATTTTATTTGCATATTTAAATAATTGTGTATTTATTTATTTATTGTACAATAATTCAATTGGGTTGTAATAGTATTTTAGGGTTTTATTTTGTGCAAATATCCCCATTCAAAAACTTGTATCCCCCCTCCCATAATAATTGTTGTAATAGCTTAGATTTATTTTACGCAATTTATTGCATTATGTACATGTTTAGTAAAATTAGGGTTTGTATGATAAGACAAAAATCAAACAAATAGAATGACCTAATCCAAGACAAACAAAAGCATGTAAAATGACAACACATTGCACACAAGCACCTCTAGGGTTTCACCCACTTGGTTGCCTTAAAATAAATGGCCATGGTATGCATGCAAAGTATCTTGGCAAAACAATTCAAACAAAAGATCATAGTCCATCGATGACGCTATCAAAAGGTTGCCTAAACAAATGATACTTGGCAACATTGCTATCATGGTCATACGATGACTCACACCCATCCCGTTTAACATCCAAAGATAAGGTTGTTTACCAAATCAATGGTAAATCAACAATGTCAAAGGAATAAAAATGTACAAGACTTTTAAGTAGGTAGATAGCTTCTAGTTACTTGATCAACTTCAAAACAATCCTTGCTATTTTCAAACAAACACACACACATTTCAAAACATTTCCAAACAACTTTCAAAACATTGAAACATTTTTCAAAAGACAAACATCTTTGTATACATTCTTACGAACGAGAATCATTACAAAGATTTCCTAAACGATGGCCTCTTTTCAAAATACTTTCAAAACCACACAAAGCACCATTTCAAACAATTGCAAAAGCAAAGAAAGTGATCTAAACAAGTAACTAAGAGCCCATGGAAAACCATAGATGAAAAGGGTGCTAGCACCTTCCCTTTTCATAATCTACCCCCCGAACTCAAGAAAACATCTCAAAGGTCTTTCCTGTGCTTTTTTACCTTTCCTTTTGGATAAAAGAAAAGTCGGTGGCGACTCTTGCTAACTGCGACATTTGCGAACACAAACGCAAAACCTCAAGTCAGTTCTCCCACCGCATCACAACATGGTTATTATCAAGTCCCTGATTGCCACCTGGGTCCTCAATATTCACCACCCTAGTATCACTGTCCCCCAACTCTATCTTTTTCTCTTTCCTGATCAGGTTAAAAGTGACATACTTGTTAGCCATTTTAGAATCACCTGGGCTGAAATTGACAAAAGTGTCCTCTATCCATGACTTACTAATGCCACCAGTCCTCTTTTTCATTTGAATTTTTTTACGTGTAGCTAAACCAATTTTGTTTTTCTTTTATTAAGCTTCCCCTATCTCCGACCATATTTACCTGTCATTATTACATCCATTTTTTTCTTTAATGCTCCCTTCCACTCTGTCTCCATTTATTCCAAAGCTTGTCAGCAAATCAATTAAGTCATTTCTTTGCAAGTTCCTCATATTCACCATTATTCCTTCCACGTCAAAACTATCAGCATTATTATTCTTTCTATTTTGGACCTCAATGCCAATATTTTTATTTAAAATGATAACTGCCTTTTCTCCTCTTCCGTACCCAAACTAAAAGTATTGACTATAGAATCATTGTCATTGACTATAACATCATTGCTATTAACTATAAGATCTGCAACATTAATTTAAATATCCTCACTTTCTAAAGCCAGAAAGCGCGATCCTCCATTCTTTTTTTTCTCATTAATGCTCACTGATCCACTATTCCTCGGACCTCTTCCTCTTTCCTCCCTCTCTTATGCTTTTGAACAACTTTCCACGGCCCATCGACTTCAGTTTTTGAATTATCTCCTCATTCAGAATTATTCACATTTTTAGTCATGATATCCTTACTACTTCCTACCCCCTCTGCAACCTTATTCTTCCCTCTATCCTTCTCCACACATGCCTCCTTATAGTGCCCATATCTTCCACAAGCAAGACACAACAAATGGAGCCCTTCATATTCTACTTTATAACTACTTCCCCTGATTTTAAACATGGCGAGTAATGGATTAGCCAAGTTCACAACCACACATACACATGCATATTTCCTCTTTCCTGCTTGATAGTTGTTTTATCAACTTTGATTGTCCTTCTAATTCGATTACCAAACTCAGTGAGCGCCCTAGGATCATAATACTCAATAGGAAATCCAGAAATACGAACCCATACCTCAACTTCATCTATTGTATCACTTTTCGATTGAAAATTTGGACGCCAATCTTTAACTGTCAAGTGATGATCGTAGATAAACCACAAACCATTAGCCAATGCAACCTACTTATCATCCTCATGAGAGAATGGCACTAGATACTAATTGTTGCTCAAATCTATTATGCTTATGACCCCTCTTCACACCCACACCTGATTCAGTCTACTTTTAAGAGCTTTGTAGCCAATTCTCCTTTCGAACAACTTCACTATGACTCATCTCCTCCATGGCCTTTGGATTCGTTTTTCCTCCTCCTCAAAAAAAATAAAGTTTGGACATTCACATCCTCCCACCATTTCTTCTTCCACTTCGATCTCTCCATAAACTACTTCCAGATTATCATCGTCCTCATCGCTTCCTCCTCGATCCTCTTCCATCTCCTCCATATTTCATCCCGTCATGATGTCCCTAAAGGAAACTCCTTTTCTTGTTAGGTTTTTGCTCGACACCTCTTTCACCTTCTTAGTACTTTTCTCCTGTAAATCCACCTTCATCGTACTCTTCGCCGGACTGCCATGAGTGTTAGTGCCATTCGTATCCGCTAAGGTATTGCCAAACCCTATCAGAGGGTTCATGTTAGTATTTTTATGCTCGATTTTTTTCTATAATTATTCTTATGCGTGATTTTTGTTAGGAAAATAATCCTACTATTTAACTATTATTTTTCATTATTAGACTTCTATTTTTAACTTTTACTTTATCCAACTATTCTATTAATTAGAATTAATAAGAGTATTCTAATAAATTATAATAATAATTTTATTATTAAAATCAACTCATCTAATCATTTCTATAAAAATCGTGCATTACTCAAATATAATATTTTTTTTTATGAAGGGGAGGGAATATATAGTTGCTTATTGAAGTTCTACGATACCCTAAGTTGAAATAACAAAAATATTAAAATACTGGTCCATCTATCCAATTGATGTGCTAAGTGGATAAGTAAGAAAAAATTGAATATGCGGGAGGATTTAACTTGACACCCTCCTAATGATACCTAACACTCCTCTAAAATTGATGAAAAGACCAAAATAACTCGAACAAAATTTTTCAAATTTAAATTTTTTGGACAATACCGAAGATTTAGATGAGCAACCGGAAATTTTACGAAATAATAAGAATTTTAAGTATTTTTGCAAAATTTATGATAGATATTCACGGAAAATTTGTAAATTTCCGGTGTATTTGTATAGGAAAATTTAAAATACCCGGTAGTTCAATTTTTATGCCGAAAATTATGAATTTCCGATAGATCAAAGTTTTTCAAAATTTTAATATAACTATCAAAATTTGTAAATTATCGGAAATTTAGTACGTAATATCGGAAATTTAACAATCTATACCAGAAATTTGGCAACCGATATCGAAAATTTCGTAACAAAAATTTCCCCATTTTACCAAGGGTATACCTCATGAACCATTTTTTGCGGTATTCTAAATTAAATAAAATCCTAAAAGGTACAAAACGCCGCTTCTTGACTTGGTTTTTGGAGACATTGAAATTAAAAGCCGTATTCTCAATCTTCTTGTTAACAACTGGTGCAGCATTTTCACACATAATGCTCTTTTTTTACATGAGGTGTTATGTATCTCACAATATACATGCACATTTATCTTCAAGAAAATGACAGAAGGACAGACTAGTTTGAAATATTCTCAAAATAATTTAACTTCTTTCCCTACAAAACATATTTTCACTTTAACTATCATGTGGTAAAGATTTCACATTCCACAAGGTCTCCAGTCCATCACTCCTGTGCTCAAAGGAGATGGAACATTAGCAGACCAAGATTTCAGATCAGGCAAAGCTCCTGTAAGTGCCATAAAATTCTCACCGGTTTTCTTCGGCATTCTCTTCCAACTTACCTGAGAAATGCAAACACAAATTGAGCTTCCTCAAATATGACATTTAAAAAGTCACATAATATAACAATGCAACGCAAGAAATGATGAATAACCAGAAATAGGAGCTTACTTGTCCAGGAAATGCTTTGGATAATGCTTTCATTGCTGTGTTTAATAACCATGCTTCATCATTTGATAAACTTTCTGGATCACTAGTTCCAAATGCGACACTTGAATCCGCATCAATGCCGCCACAGTTCACCATAAAGCGACCATTGGCCATCAATCTATCTCGTAACTCCAACCATGTACTAACCTACCAGTCAAACAAACAACTACTAAACATAATGCGACCGTGCTTTGAGATAGTAATAGTTTGTTTATCACTTTCATTCCTTTGATATCTCAGGAAAAAGAGTAAGTTATAATCTGTAAGGTTGAAAACTACTACATACCTCTTGCAGTTGAGGCAAAACTTTTCCATCAGAGAACAAGTCAACTACAATTCCTGAAAATCATTCACATATATAAGCTGTTTTCATAAACTTTCATGGAGAATTTATGGAAATAAGCTGAAAACAGTTTTCGAACTTATGTCGTAAGTTATTTTCATAAATCATAAGCTCGAATAAGTCAATCCAAACAGGTTTATGGGGGAAAATCATAATAGAGGGACTAATTCTGCAATTGGATAGCTTTTGTGCTAAAGAGATTCACAAACATCAAAAAGAAATATATTCTCCATTTTCTATTCATTTTCAATGAAACAGTTCTTCTCTTTTAATCTATTCTTGCAGTTTTTGATTCCTTTTTCTTCGTTCATAACACTTTAATTGCTTCGCAAATGGATGGTAGTGAAATAAGATAGATTATAGGATTTTTTTAGCATGGGATATAATGAAAACTAACAAAAAATTAGATAAACTAGATAATATGAAATGGGAATGACTTACCCGCATATCTTCTGTGCAAATCCTCTGAGGGAACGAAGACATCGCCGATATGAACGTTTAGAATGCCACCATCTTCTGTTGTCTTCTCCAGATTAGATAAACCAAAGTAATCTCTAGCTTTATCAATCAACTAAATATTTGGTTATCCAAGAAAAGAAAATTTGGGTGAGAACATCCGCATTATGGATCTAATCAAAGTGTAAATGTCATAGTAACAAAACTTTTATCTCAGAAAAGAAGAATATGTTACAATGTCATCAATCTCCCATCCTTCAAGTTGCAGTGAAGGCCACAGTTCAAGCATCAGATGCGCAGCAGTTCCACCACCCTGAAGTTTTAAAAAGCGGTATGATATTATTACTTCCAACGTCATTGATATTTAAGGAATACCATTCCTTATAAGTTTACCACGACAATGAACACTATCTTAAGATTAAGAAATTACCAAACCTAAGATAGCAATAGGGCCTTTTGGAACAATGGCTGGCAAGCTGGCAAACTCGTCCTGTTTAATGCAAAAAGTTCAAAAAACCTTGAGATGAATAATTCATCTATCATGTAAGTATCTGCAAAAATACTTGCAAGTATCAAGATTTAGAAACTTAAAAGTATAATGAAGATCATTATACAATGTGAGGATACTTTAGGCATAATGGCACAAACCCTAGACAAAAGTTCCTTATTAGCTTTATATATGATTACTGCATCCATACCTTAATTTTACTAAATATATCAGTTATAACTTATATATTATTATTAGAAATATACTAGCTGCTGTACTAGTATCATTGTATTCACTGTGTGATTGGGCCTTAGGCCATCATTCTAAGCCTATCAAAGTGTCTTTTTCTAGCTACTTCCTTAGTAACAGATTCTGTTGAGGCAGCTGTAACAGCTCCCGAAAGTTCAAACTGTCTTGATACTAGGTAATAGTTATAAATACCTGTTCTGGAATCACTCTCTCTTTATGATTTCATTCAGATTAATATGTCTGTTAAGAGTCCCGCATTGAATAATATATGGCCTGAACATGTCTTTGGGCAATCCTCACCCGACAAGCTGGTTTTGTAGGGTTGAGTGAGGCTCAACCACATTTTTTAACAATGTAACAATGTAGATTGGGATAACTTCATTGGACCTGGAGAACAGTAGCCCATGGTCTGAGCAGCCCAAAGAAATCGTGAAAGCTGGGCCGTGACCTCGGGTCTAGGGGAAAACTGCTTCCTCCCGCTTACCCGGCCCAGAGGCCATTTATAAAATATCCCAAACCTCTAAAGTTGGAGAGATGATGCTGATTCAGAATGATAGATGTGTTTTAATTTAATAAAAATAAACACTCTCTGAAATAAATCTTTTACTGTTAAGGCAAGATAACTGTTGGGAATTCCATGTTCAATGCAACCCACCAAGCCTCCTAAATGTGGCATTAGGTTACCCTCATTACATCCTCCAACATCTTCATTGTGAGAGGGGGTGAGTTTAGTCTCACATTGTGTAAGATATGACCTAAATAATGCTTATAAAAGTTTAAGCCATTCTAACATTGCAAACCGGTTTTGTAAGATTGAATTAGAGTCAATCCAAATTCTAAGACATTTTGACAACTTAACCAATAATGTTAATAGGCTTATTGAGTTATGCCAGCAAATTTTCACAAACCATAAACTCTTATATACTCAAACAAAACAATTAACACAGATAAAATCAAAACAAACCTATAAAAAGTAACATACCCAGTATGAATTCGTCCATTTCCGGTCCTTGTAAAGAATGCTATGAACATTATCTACAACAACAACAACAACAACAACATCAAAATGTAAGACCCCATTTGAATACATTTCACTTTATTAAGCAATTACGACCTGGAGACAAAAACACAAACAGAAAGAGTGTGTACGAGAAGAATCAAGGAGAAGCATTCTAGAGTTAGGAGTATCGACAATCATGATATCATTGTAATCAGTTTTCACAGAGGTTAGAATTTGAAAGCTTTCTTCTTCTTCAACACTATCATCATGAAGTTGGTTGTGGTGTTGTTGGGCATGAATTGAAGTTGGAGAGAATGGATGATGGATGGAAAGTGAAGTTGAGGGTATTGGTTTTAGTGTTGGGTTGTGAATGGTGAGAGATTGAGATGGGAACAAAAATGAAGGTTGAGAAGGATCAATGTGAAGAAAAGGAATGGAATTGATGTTGTTGGTGGTTAACGATACTGCACAGCCTCTCATTGTTGATTCTTCACAACTGAAGAAATAAAAACAGGGATAATAATAAGATATTAGTTAATAACACAAATAAAAAAGATAAAAGATAAAAACAACACACTAGACATTTATCCTAGTTCGGCCTAAATAACTTGACTTAACTCAGTTTCCAAGAGTTTTTCATAGAGATTTCTATTAAAATAAAATTGAACTTTTATACAAGATGAGTCCAAATAACTTGAGCTTTTACACATGATTAACCCACAAACCTTCTCCAGACAATTATATCTTATAAACATGCTCAACTCAATAACTTTAATCAAATCTTTTATTTAGACTCAGCTCAATAATCTTAACCGACCAAAGCTTTTACACGGACTCAACTCAATAACCTTCATTCAAGATTTTTTATAGATTTAGCTTGCAACCTTAAAATCTATTACTAAGAGATCAAAAGAACTATGCCCTTTAATAAACAGTTTCAGCACAACATCAATACAACACAACTCTCATATGAAACTTTTCACTCTCTTGAAGACAATTCTAGTGAATTCTTTTTATAAAAGAATGATAGTAAAAAGTTTTTATTCATAAAGCTGATGTGTTTTGAAATGAGGAAAAGTCTCTGTTATATAGGAATCAAAGTCTCCAAAGGAAACAATCCATGGACTTTTCACACTTTTAATCGATTAAAAACATGTATTAATTGAATAATTAAACCAAAAAATCAAACTTTGAATTTCGACGAGCCTTCTTAATCGATTAAGAGGCATTTCACTTTATATTAATTGATTAGAAGAAAGACTTAATTTATTAATCATTGTATTTTAACTTATTACACTACTACAAAAAATACATTTAACATCGAAGATGAAACGCATTAACCTCGACTACATAAGCGAGATAAAAAAGGTGTCATGAGAAGCTGCCATTTACCCCTCGGTTTTTAAAAAACTAAAAACTGAGGAGTAAGGTTATCTACACATGGATTCGAACTCCAACATCTGCACTTTTATTATTTTCATAACTAGCACATCACACCTCTCGATTTATTTGTCATGAAATGTATTATTTGTAGTAGTGTGAATTGATTAATCAAGCTTTCTTTTTCTTTTAAGTGCTTGCCCAAATTGATTTTAATAAGTTTTATATATAAATATGAGAGGTATGAAAAATACTTGTATGTGTGTGCGTGCTTTTGCCCTAGTGCCTCAAGACTTAATCTTGTTTCATTTACAATTAACTTATAAGAAACTAGATAAAACACTAAGTACAAGACCATGTGAGTTTTCACACTCTCACATCTTCAAGATCACAACTTCATATCTTTAAGTCCATTTGTTTGATTAGACTTTCTCTAACTCTTTCATCTAGAACTTAAAACATTTGTCTGATCATACTTGAGATATCTCTTTCTTTGATAAGATGTCATCATCACGAACCATTTGAAGATTTTTCATCATCAAAACCACTTGACGACATTACATGCACAACATATAGAACCACATTCTCCCTGTTTTTGACAATGACAATGCATCTATCATGGAAGTGGTAAACATAAATATATAGATAACATATTTGGAGTGGTTAACTCCCCCCTCCTTCCAGATAAAGTATACTCTACTTCCCCTGAGAGTATATTTCCCCACCTTTGTCATTATCAAAAAGACAGGAAACAATATAAATAAACAACATATAAAACCCAATAATAAATTATATAAAATGCATGAATTACCTGATAAGGATGGAAAATTAAGTATATATAGGCATATTTAAGTAGTACATAAGACTATACGTTTCACTCTAATTAGCGGTATCAACTTTGAGGCCACTTTATTAAGTGAAAGTTTTTATTAGCCTTCTCATCTTTTTTTATGTCAAGCTTTAGATTTCTTTTTGAGTTTCAACTTTCCCTAACGCTTTTGTTTAAGAAAGCCTTCCTCTGATGAATTTGTAATCCAAAACGTACCGAAACTCCCCTATCATATATATTTAAAATTCTTTCAACATCATATCAAAAAATTCATGGCACAAAAACTCATTACTAGAATTGATTATAATATCATTGACATAAAATTGCACAAGTAAAATATCATGTACAATTTTCTTAAAAAAGTATTGTATCAACCTTCCCTTCTTGAACTTGTTTTAAAACACAAACTTGCTCAAACGATCATAATAAGCTCTAGGGGCTTATTTCAAGTCATATATGGTCTTTTTAGCTTGAAGACATGATTAGGAGAAGATAAATTTTGAAACATGGGAGGTTGATCAACATACACCTCCTCTTGTATATAATCATTCAAGAACGTGATCTTTACATCTATTTAGAAGAATTTGATTTTTAAAATGCAAGAAAAATACAAAAGAATACTTCTAGATTCTAATATAACTACGTGGGCATATGTCTCATTAATATCTATGTATTCTTGTTGATTGCATCCTTTCCAACAAACCTAGCTTTATTTTTTAAAACATTGTCATTTTCATCTAGTTCATTGCGAAAAACCATTTGGTTCTAATCACTATATCATATGAAGGTTTTTGGGAAGAAGTTCTCAAACATTGTTTCTATCAAATTAATTTAACTTACTTTTCATAAAAAGATACATATGTTCATCAATTATAGTTTCCTTAACATCCTTTAGCTTAATTTGGAAAAAAAACATAAAGTTACATACTTGATTAAGAGAGTGTCGAGTTGAGACTCCCTTAGAAATATTCCATATGACATTTTAATTACCATGTTTGTATATCCTCTTAGTTTGTCCATAGTACTCAATCCACTTTGACTCCCTTGTTGACTCATGTCCTTACTCCTTCTATACTTCTCCGTTCATAGCTACTTCTTAGATTCCTTTATCCACTTATTAATGAGTTTCTAAAGAATACTCATTTCAAAAGCTCTAGCAAGTATGTTGATCAATGCTCAAGATTGACTTAGGTTATCGGTTTTGTATATAATAATTTGATTATTTTAATTATTTAAAATATTTTTTCCTTTTAACTATGTTTGACTTTTGACTAAATTTTTGTTATGTAAACATAGATGGAGTGTGCTAGAAGATTCACAATTCCTCTATCTCAATATGAGTTTTCTTCATCAATGAAATTGGACATTATTAATGAGAGTGCATCTTTTAATGATTTATCTATAAGGGTAGGAATATGTCACACCTTCCTACAAGGTTCCATGGTTTGGCCTATTTAAGTTTGACTCAACATGTTTATTAAAAAGTCTATGCTTATACATATATAACATATATTTAATGAAATAGGTTAATATTAGGCTATAAAAAAGTGCAACAGTTTGATAGTCTGTAAGGTTTGTTTAGCATATTAAAAAGTTGTTTGCTCATTACACGCTAAATATTTCTCTCAAACCCAATAAATGTTCAAAAAATCCCTTGTTCAAAAGTTAACTTCCAAATGCACTTTGTATCATACTGTTCATTGATTTCACTTAAACAATGCTAAAGGGATTTGTCTAGAAGTTACATCCGGATACTAATACATGCAGAAAAATCGCGGGTGTATCAACGAGAAATGGTAAACTTCGGGTATTTCTGCAAAATTTGATGTGAAATAACAATATGTAGAAAATTTTGGAGTAAATTCCATAGAAATTTCAAGATGTTAAATTTCGGAGTACCCGTTCCATTTTGAACTACTGATATTATTACCTCCAGAAAAATACCACAAGTATATCCGCAAGAAATGTTAATTATTAGGAAAAACATACAAAATTTTCTATGAAAACCTTTAGGGTGTGTTTGGAAGATAATTTCCATATTTTCATAAGGTTTCAGAAAAATATATTGGGGTGTGTTAAGAAACTCTCCTTAAAAAATAGGTAAAATGGATTATTTACAAGCTTTAATGTGAAATATGCTTTTAAATAGGCTTCTAGACAAGGTCACTCTTTTAAATAGATCACAAAAAATAGGCCATAGATCAGATTTAGTGTAGCGGTAGAAATGTTCAAGACTAAGCCATTGGATTGACTAGACTTTGTACAAATCATAATAAAAATTGCCACCGCGCTTTATTGTTTCCAAAGGAATGGGAAAAGAGAGAATAACCCAAAAAAAGGGGAAAGATTCAAGGTAAGGGGGTTGGTTATGCAAAGGGAAGGTATTAGCACCCTAAACATCTAAGGTACTCCGCAGGAGTCTCTTTGAAAAATCTGTATATTTTGGCTGTATAAAATGTGTTGTATATAAAATGGATGGTGGAAGTGAGAAAAGAAATATATATTTTTATGATTATTGCACCCGCCGCGGTTGCGAACCTTTAGTGCCTACGTACCACCTTTCGTGCAATAGGGGATCAGGGTACACGTAGTTCCTCTTTTAAAAATTTGAAACACAAGTGTGTTGGTTGATTTTAAGAGATAAGACATCATCGTCATTGTCCGTGTGGAAAACATACTTACTACCCACAATCATGAAAAAAGATAATTTGCATCATCTCAAAGTGGAGGATATGACTTGGATTTTAAAATCAACAATGCCTCACTCAACACCTAAGTGGAAAATATCTCACTTCACTACATATTATAGAAGTATAGTTGTTTGCATCACTACAAGGATTGACAAGAATCTAATCTTTTGAGAAAAGTTTAAAGATAAAAGTCAAAGTGGCAAAATGGTTTGAAATGAGATTGATTGACTTTTAGTCTTCTCACAAAAAAAAAGTGTCAAAGTATCATTAGATTGATTGAAGTTTATTTGTGAAAATGTTTTGAAAATACATGGACATAAGTCCAAGTTTATTATGAAAGTAGTCTAAGTTTCAAAACAAGAAGAGTTTTCAAAGGAGAGAGAAGATTTTTGAAATTAAAGAAGATGGGAGGAGTAGAAGAGACTATCCTAAAACATAAGGTAAAAGCTAAGGATAAGGACCATCTAACCGACAAGAAGCCAAAGCTTGACATTAAGGGCCAAGATAAAATTCCCATTCTTTGGATTGAAACCAAGCAAACAAAGATACTAGACCTCTTCAAGTGTATTACGTCTTCACAG